GTGTTTATATACTCACATAATTATTTTTTGTTATTCTATAATCTTTTGGTTTTTATTTTTTATTTCTTGCCTCTTGAACAATATCTACAGTTCTCATTGATCTAATCGAATTATTGTTCTGATTTCGATGTACATACAGTGTGACCCATTTCTAATGGATGCACCCCTGTATCTTACGTAATCGTTGGGTGAGAATCCTGAAATTTGCTGGAGCGAGAAATATACCAAGAATGAACTCTATGACCAAGTGGGGTCATCTTCTGTGTCATACACTGCTCGCCAACAGCCATGGAACCACCCCGATTTCCGGAAAATGATATTAGGAGTCAAGATAGATTGAAAATCACCTCGGGTTCGGAACCTGGACCCCCAATTCTCTACCTATCCATAGTTTCCCTAGAACATTTTCAGTTCAGAAAAATCAAATTTTGTCTCACTTCTCATGAAAGCAACCCCGTATCTCACGAAATTATTGAGTAGGGTTCTGAAATTTGCAGGAGGAAGGGAAAGTCCAAAAATGAAGTCAATTACTTAAGATACGGGCGTGCTTCCGTGAAAAGTGCGACAAAATTTAATTTTTCAGTACTGAAAATTTTCCAGGAAAATGAATGAATAGTTGGTGAATTGGGTGTCCTGATTTCGAATCTGAAGTGATTTTCGACCTATTATGACTCCTAATATCATTTTTCGGAAATTGAGGTGTTTCCATGGCTGTTGGCGAGCAGTGTATATCACTTAAGATGACCCCATTGGGTCATAGAGTGCATTCTTGGTATATCTCTCGCTCCAGCAAATTTCAGGATCCTTACCCAACGGTTACATAAGATACAGGGGTGTTTCCATTAGAAGTGGGCCACACTGTATATAGTTGAATACTTTTGCTGGGTGGAAGAGCAAAATTTGCCTTTGGACACTTTTTGAACCCTGTCAATTGACAGATGGGAGTGTATTATTCAGCATATCAGAGTATGTTATTCAGTTGTTTCTCTGTTACATAAACCTGTCCCTAGAAGCCATTATTAGTATTATTATTATTATTATTATCATTATTATTATTATTATTATTATTATTATTATTATTATTATTATTATATTAGGTATGTGGTTCATGCTATAGCCAGGCACAGACCTGTTGTCTCTACAACAACTCCAAAATAGAAGCATGACGATCATATTGAGCTGTGATCGCGATACTCCCAGCTCATTAATCTTGAATACATTGCATTGGCTATCAGTTTCGAAACGACTCTACTTCCTAACGATACCTATTTATTTATAAAATATTACATTATGAAGCACCTTCCTACTTTCGTGATTATGTTGTTTTCAAACACGTTAAATTATAAATAATAAATAGTTTGATATTTTCCTGGGTAATTGCTGCTTTTTGGTGATTTTTAAGGGCACTCTGACAGCGCATCTTTGTCGTCGACAACTTCGAGATATATCGAACAACTCTCTACCATATCTTGTTTTCACTCTGCAGAACTTTCCGATAGTATATCTCTCATTGGTTGCACCTCGTATATTCCACGGTCACGTGACAAAAAGCATGAAACTTCGAATCGGACACCTGGTATATGATTACGCTATTCGAAAACCATTTATTACTAGCAATAGTATGCTCTATATTTACAAAATTGAATGATATACCTACAGTGAAGTTTGTGAATTATCAGGGAAGTCATAGGGTGTTAAAATACAGAAAAAACATTATTTTCTGGTTAACATTTCCTAGAAAAAAAGGAGTTGATTTTGATGAAACCTTTGTACCAAATTTCGTGCGAATAAATTATTTCTTTAGTTACTGGAAATAAGTTTGACATCTCATCTCATAAAATGTCACTTTTCAAGAATTACTTGTTTCCCACGGGAAAAAGAGTGAACCTTTTTTTTTTCGGATATAGGTATATAATATACACTGTTGATGACTGCTGTTGTGCTAGTTCTGAAAAATGCAGTCAAAAATGTAATGTCCATAATTTTCTGATTATAATATTCTTCTTTGTTCTAAAATTGTTCTTATCCTTATCCATCATTCGGTTGCCCCCTTACGAGCATCCCTCAGAAGTCTTCAAGAGACTTGTGCGAGCAAGGAATGACGGGGGTCTTACCTTCTAACATATGATCCCAAACACTTTTCCTTAGATGAAGAATGATAAAGATGCCTACAACGCAGATGTCCCTCCTGATAATTTTTAGATTTCATAATAATGTAGTATCTTCTCAATATTGATTCCTCCTTATTCTGCCTGTCACAGAAAAAAAATTTAGGAAAATATTAGATTTTTAGCTCACGGTATTTTTGTTTTCCTCCGCTAATATTTTTTCCTTCGTATAATGAATAACCCTTTCTGCAATAGTTATTTTTGGAATGCGAAATAAAATCAACTGCCTGTATCTCCGAAACGAAGCATTTCGAGACACAAGTTTATGTAGACTTCCATTCTTGAAATTGTTGCTGAAATATGTCACTTGAATATTCAAACGTACTTATGTTACACGCTGTATATTATCGGAATCCCACAGAGTGAATTGAAGATTCAAATCAAGGCTAGATTTACCTTGTGCTGTGATAAGGTGTTGATCAAACAATAATCTTAGTTATCACCTTGATCTTTTAGAATAATGAACCAGTTCAAGGTCATCAATTTGTGTTTGCAGTAACTACAATATTATATAATCAAATGAGACACAATTTACAATTCTATCAGATATTCATATCATTGACGTTGTTAGATGAAACAGTGATATTGACTATCATTTCTTGCTTTTCAGATAATGTCACAACTTGACATTTCTTGAACGCGAGGAAAGCTTAAAGTTTTGTCTTGACCTATCATTTCTGGTTCCAAGATCTTTGTTTTTGTTTACTGACAATAGCAAACGACGTCGCGCACTTGCAATGATGCCAATTTATATTGATATCATCTCGTATTTCATCATGAGTGATAAACGCACGTTTTAGCGTTTCCATATTCTTAGTCAAGAAATAAAAAATGTCTTGTTTTCTTGACAAGAAAACTTGGTATTGACATAAAATTTCTTGTCTTGTCATGAAATCTAGAATTTCTTTTGTCTTGATCTTGTCTTGAGATCAAGACAAGATCAAGGACCGAACAAAATGATCGCGATATTCACCCGTAGGTATAAGCAACGTGATCAAAAAGGATCTTTCTAATTGGTTCAAAATAAATTTATGAAATTTTCCGTAGTACTATCCCTAGTACATCGATAATAGACGAGATAATCTTATGACAATCGGAAGCTAGTTCCTTGGTATTAACAGCTTGAAGCCGAATGCTGAGGGCTGTTACCAGGCAATAAGCTTGAGAAATTGGTCATAAAATTATGAGGCATTTTTCAATGTCCGAGGAATATTCTGCGGAAAATACTTTGAAGTTGTAAAAGTCGATCGCGTTGTCATAGCGATTGATGATTGCACTGAATGCAGTTATAAAAATTTATTTCCAAAATAATCTCCTCTCAAAAACGCTATATTTATAAGCATCATTGGTGTCTCATTCTATATGTAGACGTTTCTGGAGAACGCAACTCAGCATTATTCTGAAAAGTTGGTGCCTTGGATAGTTAGAGAAAAAAAATCTTATTGAAAAAGCATGAATTGGTCTTAAATTTGAAATATATGAATGAAGTGATATATTGGACAACAGAAAGTATGAAAGTTTACATTAAGAAAAGACGTAAGATTCTACAGAACATTTCAGAATGGACATGGGTGAATGAATTGTTCAGAATAATTTGAAATCAGGCGATTTCAACCCTCAGGTTCAGGTACTCAAAATCAGTCTTGGAAATATTCTCCCAAGCTGTAATTGCTTCTGGAAGCATACATTTTTCCACACGCTTTCGAAATGCTTTTAAGTCTGTCAGCTGGTAGATGATTAAAGATTTACCGACTCTCGAATATTTATTTTCTGAAGGAAAATTGTATTTTCTATTTTGAATGAGACAACTGTTTCTCAAATGAAGATGCAAAAAATTGTTAATATTTTATTCATAATGAACAGTGGTCTACAGTAATCCAAAGACTTTCAGCTCTAGAAATATATTTTACTTTTCTGTAGATCAAATACAGATACAGATTGTATCAACTGCTTGCTACAGAAACCCCAAAAAGCGATACCATATTACAAATGCGATTCAACTGATGAAAAATATGATATTTTTCCTGCTACTATTCCCAGCTCATTGGTAATGACCCTGACAGCATAACAGTCTGATGCAAGTTTTTTGTTGAGATATTGTATGTGTTCATCAAACATAAACAGGGTATAATCAATCCATAATCCCAAGAATTTGGTGGACGTCTTATTACTTAGGTTTCCAGAATCGAATTTAAATGAGATTACGTTAGTCTTATTCATATTGAAGCATAAAGAATTGGAATCACACCAAGATTTGATCTTCTCTACTTCAATTATATTTTTCAAGGAGGTTATGTCATTTCCGTGCCATAGTAGGGTTGTATCATCTGCAAACATTGTAAACTTTCCTTATATGTCGATATCACATAAGTTATTCACAAAGAGAGGGAACAAAATGGGACCAAGCACTGATCCTTGTGGAACTCCACAAGTAATTTTCGAGACACTAGAAATCCTAATCAAGTATTCCCAAGAACTAATAATCTCCAAAAGTTAAAAAAATACAATACCTACCTCATCTCCATATCCTTCCTCGTGCGCTTCAAGAGATGAGAAATAATTTCAAAATGAACAGAGCTCTCAGGAGAAAACTGTTTGGCTAGAGTGAACAAGTTTGGGTTATTATTTCAAAATAATTGAATCAATGATTTCATTGAAACAGGCTCATTCCGAACGTTTGTTATTTCAGAAAATTGAAACAAAGATTCCACGGTACATGAACTACTTCAACGAAATTTTCTTGGCACTCTCACAATAGAAAATATTCATTTGGACTTTGGTTTCCAAGAAAATCTGTATATTATAAGAACGCGTTTTCTGTTTTTATTTCAGTTCCGCATGGCAAAGATGTTGGAAAATTCTCCCAACGCCGTTTTGGATAAATCTTTGATTCAGCACTATCTGACCCTACCCATTCCTGATGGGAAATGTCAGGCTACCTACATCTGGATAGATGGATCAGGCGAGAATGTCAGAAGTAAAACCAGAACACTGGATGCGGTCCCTACTAGACCAGAAGGTGAGTTTTTGCTTAGACTAAGGGCGATATACAGGGTGATTAATTAAGAATGGGAAATCTCTGGACTTCAGATAGTAAACAAGAAAATAATGAGATTCAGCCCAATATGCCTGATGAGAATGTTGCTGGTTTAGGAGATACAGGGTGTTTTAGGGGGAGATTTAATTTCAAAATTCCACAATAAATTTGTTAGTTTCAACAGCATGAACATGAAATCTTGTATTCATAGGTTTTCTGACATAAGGAATATGAATTTGCAATCTCGAAATGAGTTTTGTGATTGCTCATAGAGGGCGCTAGTGGCACTCTGTTACTTCGATAATTTACATCATATCTTCTATGTCAATTCATTGATGATCAAAATAAGTGGAAAATCTGAAAGCTCGTTCAATTTCACATAAAAAATGTACTCTTTGTCAAACGGTTTCTGTGTTATTTGCTCTTGAAGAGATTGATGTTTCAATTATGACATTTTGATAATTTTATTCACTGAATAAAGAATCGGAAATCCCTGAACTGGAGATAGTAAACACCCAAATATGAAGATGAACATGCCCGTTACCACCGATACAACAAGGCCTGCATGCTCCGTGGGTGACGTCACTTAGTGAGGCCTAACCAGCGGCTCGAAACGACAAGCGCTTATAGCGCTATAAGGCGACCGCGTATTTCGATTTCAGTTTTAGATCATCATTGAGCCGATTTTGCTGTTTTTTGAAGGGCTTCCGGTTAAAAAAGGATGCCAGTCGTCAACTGAGCCCTTCTTCGAACCCCATTCGATTTTATTATGGAAAAACGAAGTTTTAAAGCAAAAACCAGGATAAAACACAAATATCCACCTACAGCAACCCATTCGAATTAAATATATTGGCAAAAATTGTGGTGAAGGTAAACTTCACACCTACTTATACAGGGCCCGCAGAACATAAACTTATCGTGAGATTGATCGAAAAAAAATTGTGGAAAACGTATTTTATTTTGATTGACATGCATTTTGTTACAATCACCTATATTTATCTTGGAGGATTCCTATTACCTGAAAAAATAATCAGTGAGTGTTTTCAATTTTCTGTTGTAGGATTTTTTACCCAAGTGGATCGTTACACTTGAAACCGTAATTTTTTTAGGGTAAAACTGCATTTATCATGCGATGGTTTTTTTTTGAAAACTTTTTTCGGTACTCACGTATTTTTGTCTGATAAACCGAATTTTATAATGAAAATGTGAACAAACCACTATTTATTGAGATATTTCAAGAAAAAGTTCGAAATTTCGCCTTCTTTCTCTTTCTGGGGGCATTTGAAGCTACTTGCTCTTATTTTGTCATTGAACACTTTATATACTCATGATGTACTTCGATGGCACATTTTTATATGGAAAATTCTACAGGAAATATGATTTTTATGGCGAGTTTTTCATATTTAGTAAACAAGCATTCCAGATGACGACCATTTAATCAATAGTCAATCAAAATACGAGATTATTTTGAATGATATCCTTCCTTCTTTTCACTAAATATGGATTAATCTCAAGAAAATCATATTTATAGTCGAATTATATATAAATTGTGGAATTGGAACTTTTTAGTCAAATATCTTCATGATAAATATCATGATAAATGCAGTTTTACCCTTTTAAGTAGAGTGTTTGTAGTTCATGTTAATATGATAGTTGCCACGAGGCAAATGACCGTTTTCAGAAAGAAATTTGAGAATGAGAATAATTAAAAATGCCCGTTTATTATATACATTCAAGAAAATTTCCTCGAATTCAGAGATGATTTTGTTGACTATAATATACGAATACAAAACTAACTGCACAATCAAAGCTTTTCTATTTTTCCTCTACTTATACTTTTTATGAGAGAGTAATTGTCTTCTATTATTAATTCATCATTATGAATTATGCTCTGTTTACTACTGAACTTAGATGGAGTAAAATCCTCGCGGTGAATTGCATATACCCACATTTTCGATAGCTCCTCGTCCAACGGGAAACTGAAAGCATGAACTTTTGAACCACCCACATAAATCCCCCGAACACTTGAAAGGCATTGTTATTTCGCCGATCATAACACAAAATATTTCACAAAACAGTAATTTTTCCGCCAATTATTTTGATGAATAAACAACAAAAGAATTCGGGACCGTTTCAAAAACATACGTGAATCACCGATGAATTGACACGAACTGACGCGTTAGTCGACAAGCGATAAAATAAAACACTGGCCTCTCTTGGTGACGTCACGAGCTGTTTACATCAGAGTCTGCTGGCCTTGTTGTATCGGTGGTAACGACATGCCTCATAAAAATATTGCTGGTTTAAGAGATACAGGGTGGTTAAGGAGAAGATATTTTGAAATCGAATGTTCTCCCTAACCACCCTGTATCTCTTGAATCAGCAATATTTTTATAAGGCATGCTGGACTAAATCTTCATACTTAGGTGTTTACTATCTGTAGTTCAGAGATTTCCCACTCTTTATTCAATAAATGAAATTATTAAAATGTCATGTGGAAAATCAATCTCTCCAAGAGCGAATAACACAAAAACCGTTGAAGTCAGACAATTCGATAAAGAGTTCATTTTCCATGGGAAATTGAACGAGCTTCAAGATTTTCCACTTATTTTGATCACCAATGAATTGACATAGAAGATATGATGTAAATTATCGAAGTAACAGAGTGCCATCTATGTGCAATCGCAGAATGAGTTGCAAATTCATATTCCTCATGTCAGAAAACATAGAAATACAAGATTTCTTGTTCATGCTGTTGAAACTAGCAAATTTATTGTGAAATTTTGAAATAAAATCACCCACTAGAACACCCTGTATCTCCTAAACCAGCAACATTCTCAGGAGGCATATTGTGCTAAATCTCATTGTTTTTGTGTTCAGAGATTTCCCATTCCTGATTAATCACCCTGTATATACAAGTCCAAAACCTCCTCGTTACTGACATACAGAGTAATTTGTAGATTTTGACAAAAGATTCAATCCGCCATATTGAATACAGGGATTACCCGATCGAATTCAAATAATGTACATGAATTAAACTGAATGGCTTCAATAAGGAGCCTTTTGATTGAAACCAATGTCAGGACTGAAATATTATTTTTTCTGATGTTCAGCGAACAAGTTGCCCTTGGATCGAAACCATTATCAGGACCGGAATAATATGTTTTCCTATGTTTATTTATTGAGGGAATAACTCGCCCTATATAATGACTATCAAGAATCTGACCTCAGACTAAAAATCTACAGATGAAATACTATAGGGACATGTTGAATCAGTTTCTGACACCATTTCAATTATTCCGTAATATTTTTATTCCAAAATAATTCTCGGATGAAATATCAAAAATGGAAATATAATATATATTCACCAAGCCAAGACATAATTGTTGTTATTTCCTTTGATTACTCTGTAGGAATGATTCATAAATTAGTCTCGTAACCAAAAAAGAAAAATTCGTATCAGGACCGGAATGACTGTTTTTTCAAATGTTCTCGTGACTATAACTGACCTAACATTTATCTGATGGTAGATTCGGAATTGACAAAAATAATCAAAGATACTATTAAAATGAGGTACTCATTGTTTTCAGAAGATGAAAATCAGCTCTCACTATTAGATATAATCACAAAAAAATTCGTACGTCATACGTGCGTCAAAAACTTGAGATAATATCTGAAGTTTTTGAAGATAGCCTCATAACATACATACCTCTCATATCATGTTACTTCACGTTCCATGTGGGAGAGATATACACAGTGTAACAATTTTAAGAAAAAAAGTGTTTGTAATTTTGTGTCCAAAATGCTTCATTTCGGAGATACAGGGTGTTGAAATACAGAGAACAAATCATTTTTCGATGAACATTCCATAGGAAAATAGTAGTTTTATTTTCACGAGACCTACCACATACTTAGTTTTTGTAATGTTCTCAGCAACTTCACTTAGCGCCGTAGGAGCTGAGTAACATGCATCGATATAGAAAATTGTAAATATCTCGAAAACGATCACCTCCAGCGTTGTTGTGGAAGTCTACGTACTCCACTTGGAAAATGTGTGGGAACAAGATTTTTTCATGAAAAGTACCAAAGGTTTACTGACAAAAATAATAGGGCAATTTGAAATAAATAATGACAGCCTACGCAGCGCCCTCTAGATGTTACATGGAAGTTAATACAAAATCATGATTTATCACGTCAAAAAAACCATTGGTACCAAATTTCGTGCAAATGACTCATTTTTTGCAAAAGTTATAATTAAAACACGAAAAATATCCGGAAACAAGTTTATATAGACTTTTTTCTTAAAATTGTCGCAGTTATACTCAGTAATACGTCACTTGAATATTCAAACGTAATTATGTTACACCCTGTATAGACTGAGCAATGGGTCGAAACTTTCATGGGTATACGGGTGTCAACGAATCTTTACAAATATTTAACAAAATTAAGAATAACTGGGCATGAAAACTTTCGAAAATATCACATTCTGATCTAGAATTGTCTCAGAAATCCAAAAATGTTATAATATACAGGGTGTTCCATTAAAAAATTTAGAACCGGAGCCATTTCCGGTGAAACCGGAAGTGACCGGGGAGTGAAAAATATGTGAAAACTCTCCTCTTCACATACCATTTACCTATACCAAATCTCATTTTGATACACCTGATGGTCTAGAAGTTATGACCTGTCTAATAGATTCGTTGACACTCGGTATAGTACTGCATTCGTCCATCGGCAGAATTCATGAAAACTCAAACAACCTTGAGTAGTCGAAGTCGGTTGGATACAAAACAACAGAATCACAAGTGAAATGACAATTCCATGTCCGAATAGCAATTTCCGCTCAGAATTAATGCATCTAACTATCCTAAGCCTCAATTGGGTAATGCTTGATGATGATAACAGACCGAGGAATAATTGTGTCAATTTCCTGATAAATGTGTGCGAATTGGTTTTCCCCTGAACTATTCACACTTCGTAAATTCCCACATAAGTTTTTTCTTTGTTATTCTCACGCAACACAATCATGATTGATAAAATGTACGTACAATCGATGGCCGATTGCAAACCCATGCTTGTAATTATCGCTCATTTTACTGCTTTTGATATAATATACAGTGAATGGAGTGGTCCTAAGTAACAAACACAGCACGAAATATTCAGCAAATATATTACCTCAATATTACCATATCGCAATTGCAGTTTCCTATAATTCCTACCCGTCCCATGTGGCATTACAATTCGGCCGACTGGGAAGATCTTCGTATGTTTTTTCAACGTTTCCATGGATGAGAGTTTGTTTCTCCTTTCTGAAATCATCGTGTTGGCGATGCAAGCCTACATACCAAACACTGCAAGGAGAACATCTTCCGATAAGGCCTGGTTCAGAAAAAACTGCTCTAGAGCTGTCGCTTCCAAACAGGCAGCATTCCATCGATGGCAGAAAAAAGCAGAATATGTCGAGTCTAGAGGCATATGCAATGAGACAATTCGATCATCAAAGTATGCTCACAATGCCAAAATAAGATCAAAACTTGTTGAGTGTCCTAACGGATTCCGTCCATTTTGGTCCTTCGCCAAAGCTGTAGGAAGAAACTTCACTTCCAGCTCGTTTCCTTCTCTAACCAAGGAAGATGGAACACAAGTCACAACTGCCCAGGTGAACCCAACATTTTTGGGAATTTATTTTCTGGAAATTCCACTCTGGATTCATCGGGAAAGCAGCCTCCAAACATAACACCAATTGACTGTCATATGCCCGATTGCCCGAGATCACTTTTCGCCAACGTAGTATAAGGAAGACTTTATTGGGTCTCAATACCAACAAAGCTTGTGGCTCCGACGGAATCCTACCGATTGTTCTCAAGAAATCTGCTCCCGAACTAACATCTGTTCTCTGCAAGTTGTTTAGCTACTCTCACAAATTGGGGATATTCCCGTCAACTGGAAAATTGCAAGAGTACAACTAGTTTCTGAAAGAGGCAAAAAGACCCTACCTAGCAACTACAGACCGATCGCACTGATATTATTTCAAAGATCATGGAGAGAGCTATCAACATCGAGCTCATGAAATACCTGGAACATTCAGGTATTCTCTATGATAGGCAATATGGCTTTCGTCATCAGAGATCAACTGGTGACCTGCTTGCTGACGTCTCACATATATGGCAGCAATCTATTGAGGAATATGGTGAAACCTTAGCCGTGGCACTTGATATCTCCAAGGCATTCGATCGAGTCTGGCACCATGGACACCTCTTCAAGCTTCCATCTTATGGCTTATTGCCTCCCCAGCTATGCTCTCTGCTAGCTAGTTTTCTCCCAAACAGGTCCCTCCATGTAGTGGTCGACGGAGTTTCATCTGACTCTCTTATCATAAATGCTGGTGTTCCGCAAGGATCAATTCTAGCACCAACACTATTTATACTCCATAGCAAGCAACTTCATGTCCAGTACACAGCTTCGCGGATGATAGGAAATGAAAGGGTAGGAATATGAAAGGTTGTTGGAAAATGAAAATAAAAAACCAACTTTTCAAAATTCTTTATGAAAGACTTGAGTGTTAACCATAATTGATAGCATGGTGAGATATTCTAAATTGGTGAGCATTTCTTGATTTTCTGTTTGGTATACCTATTGAAATTGATAGATTTCAATAACGTTTGACAAACAGCCATTCCATTGATTAATTTAAAAATGAAACAAATATCAGTGGTGTTCCTGAGATTTTTAATCTAAACAAATTCATTTTACCACGCATAATCATGGTTTTCAATAACAACATTAAGCTCAAAAAGCACGACATCTTAGGAATTTATGATGTATACATTCTGAAGTATATATATAATCCATGAATGAATAATATAAGGTATACCTCGGTGAAAATTAATGTAGGCGAAATGTTAATCGTTGGGTAGTTGCGACGTGTCATCAAATAGGATATCTCAAAAAAGTTGGCAAGAGGTAATTTTCAAGGAGATGCTTGGATATACTTGATAAAAGTTCATCCAAGATACGTTATCCCTATATATTTCTAATAATGTGACGAAATCGATATTTGAAATATATGGCCAGAGATTAGTGACGTAGTAATAACAATCAACACTTGAAATAAACTTTTCGATATTATATAATATCGAATTAAATTTACAAGGAAGTTGAGTTGGGGAACTCGCAAGGCTAAAAATTTGTGGATGTTCATATACACATTTATACGAAATCCTTAGTTCATCCTGGTACATCTATGATCGGTTTCCAAGACGATCTTTGGTGTGATATTATCAGGTATTCCCTGCGACTTACTGTTACTCCGCAGGTTGACTGGGTGGTATCGAAAATTTGTTTCCGAGGCATATAATAACAGTAATAATCTTATAGGTACATAATTGAATCTATTGCAAATAGACTCTACTAACACCACCTGAAAGGAATACATTCGTGTTCCCTTCCTGCTTTAATCATATTGTTATGGCTTTTTTCGCATCACAAATGAAGATACAAAAAAATGTTGGCAATGGTTTTTTCACTCATCTTGACCTTCAATGCACAATCATGCATTTGGATGCGCTCCAAAATAATAATAAACATTCGACATTGAACTGAGGTTATTGTCCTTCAATTCAGTGTTGTCAGTATTATTACTTTCACTAAGGCTCTTCCTTTTTTCAAAGTCATCAAAATTTCATTGCAGTAGGTACAATATATATCAATAAGAGTATGGTTGTATACTTTATAGTCTGCCAATGTTGTGAATTCACCTGATATAGCAAGTAGCGATAAGAAATGTGTAATGTAGGAAAGCAACCGATTCTGTTTAGTCAACACTATCTCATTTTTTTTTCCTTTCCAGAGCTGCCGATCTGGAACTTCGATGGTAGTTCCACCAAGCAAGCAGAAGGCTCTAACTCTGATGTCTATCTGATGCCGATCGCCATTTTCAATGACCCCTTCCTCAGAGGCAACAACAGGCTAATCCTCTGCGATACATATAAATACAACAAAAAGCCCACGGATACCAATCATCGGGTGAGTGTAGCAATATCCTGTATGGAAATTGATCGTATCAGAAAAAAATAACTATATACAACAATTGGATGGACAATGCTACACTGAGAGAAAACTTGAGTTATCATAATTGGAAATCTGATAACCGTTATTACGATATCTGCAATAAATAGAGGACAGATGTGTTCATTTGCTACCATAGATGAAGTGAATTTTCAGGTGGCTCATAGTTATGGCAGCATATATTCAATTTGCATACTTGTATAAACACTGCTGCTAAATACCTACAACTTGTTTCTAGTTTCTATGATAACACAGAGTGTCGAATAGGAATTATTCCCAAATAAATGTTGTAGTAACTAATCCACTCTACAGTGGTTATTAGACTATCGTCATAAAACAGCCTGATCTTTTTACTGACAAAACCATCTTGACGTAATGCAATTATTCGTCTCATTTTATTATAGTTAGATGATATCTGAATAAAACCTGACATCTTCACATGCAGTGGTAATTCTAGGTTATCTAATCAACATTGTTCGATGGTATGCATTATGAAACCGTGCTTTGAATTAGTGCAATGGAAATAAATATCTTATTCACACTTGATTTTCATGATCCAAAGTTATTTTTATCAAAAAACAAAAAATACGATTAGTTTCTGAATTGAAATATCTGGGTTTCTCTGGAAGTTTTTTTACATATGCATTGATTTTTTCGGAGAAATATCATCTGTATACATACTGACGAAGTTATTAAGAAATGAAAAGTTGAATACTTATATTTACTCTTCCTACGGAGTTATGATGAGAATTGTCAATAAAACTTCCCTCACAGAAACCCAGATATTTTAATTCAGAATCTCATCGATCATGTTGTTCTTGGAAATAAACCAATTTAAGGCCGTGAAAAGTGGGTATGGAGAATACCTTTGTCATTGCAGTAATGCAATGCACGGTTTATTTCACAGCTCGGTTCACAGCTAGCACTAAAACAAAATTTTGCTACATCACACACCTTCACCCACAAGACACGACTCTATCGATTCGGACGAAAGAAACCATTGAACAATTGAATAATTGAAGACAGGCACCCATGATCGAGAACAGAAGTGAAAATGAACGCGATCTGTAGATTTGTCGATTGTCGAATGATTGTCTACTAACCTTCATATATGTGAATTGCTATAGTTATTCGTCAACGTACAATGCTAGAAACCCAAACAACTATGATTATTGGGACAAACATCATCTGAATTTACCAATAAGCATAATTCACAAAACGAGCTATGTCGATAAAAAATCTGAATAGACTAGAATTTATAAAATTCTCATAATGTCATAAAACACCTTCGTTATGATGGTAGCAAATGTCCATTCAAGGGTATCACAAATGGTTTAAGAAAGCGATTTCAATAACTACAGAATAAAAAATTGAAATAATAAAATGACCAGGATTAAAGAGTCCTAAGTTCTTGTTTCATTTCAAAGAGGTAGAGTAGGTAAAAGAACACAATAATGTAAGTGAATGACTATTATAGGTATTACAGAAAATGTCTATCTCATCATTGTCTCTACTATATCTGAAGGAGAACTACTGATTCCCAGGCCAAGAACCTTTCGATATAGAAACAAACCATTCGAAATGTATGATGACAATGATTTCAATAACCGATTCAGATTTTCTGTAACTTCTGTCAATCTGAATGTGAATCAGGCAAATAAACCTAACCTCAACAATGCGCGGAACGCAAGGAGCATCAGACAGATTAGCGCTGTTGCCACGCCCTTTTCGTCATTAGTAAATGGAATGATTATTATAACATCATATTGTTTATGCAACGCAAAAGACATTCAACATAGCATCGAAGTTATTGTGGCATCAGTTGATTGTATGATTTTTTTTATGCAACCGGCCCTTATTCTTTATAATGGTTATCACAATCAGAGCTTGTAGATATTTTTGATATCCAGTTTCTCTCAGTGTAGTTTCCTAGAAAAAAATAAACTGATTGATTGATTGAACCTTGCAGGTGACGTGTCTCCAAGCCATGGACGCCGCCAAGGCCACCCAGCCGTGGTTCGGCATCGAGCAGGAGTACACGCTGCTGGACATGGACAGGCGGCCCTTGGGGTGGCCCAAGAACGGCTTCCCCGGCCCTCAGGGGCCCTACTACTGCGGCGTCGGCGCGGACAAGGTTTACGCCAGGGACATCGTCGAGGCGCACTACAGGTGCTGCCTCTACGCCGGCATCAACTTGTCGGGGACCAATGCCGAAGTTATGCCTGCACAGGTAAAGTTTTTTCTATAGAGGGTGTATATCAAAGACTCCCACACAGCACATATATGTCCAATGTACGTCCACTTCAAATCGATAGTGATTTCCCACAAGAATGAAAGTTTCCAGCATGAGTCTTAGGATCATGAGGATCCCAGAACATTCTGGAACATTTAAGCCCATTTTAGAATTTTTCAGAACATTAGAGAACGTTTTAGATGATTATTTCAGAAAATTCAAGAACATTAAAGAACGTTTAAATCATAATTGAAGAATATAGAGCATTATAGAACATTTCCAACCATTCTGGAACATTATTGATTATTCTGGTACCTTTTCTAATATTCTATAGTATTCTGGAATATTATAAAACATTCAGGAGAATCTTGGAATAGTCTGGAGAATTTAAGACATAATCAATGATATAAACTTTGGTCTGGCATTGACGGTTTCACGTTCTGTGGGTGTATTTGAAGATACTGAATCAAAGTCAGCCTGACGATTTTACCATAAATGAAACAGCTTTGTAGGCCACTTAAACCCCTTCTGGCAGTAACTTTCCATCCGTCCACTAGTCTGGCAATATTCCAAAGACTCAGACTGATGCTGATGACGTAGGTTTTCTTTGTCCCTGAAAAATGCTTACTGAATTCGACATATTTTTCTCATTAAATAACCCATATTAGGAAGTTTTGATTGTTGATGATGCTGCCGAAGATTTTCCCAAGCATCTTTAGCCGTTTTAGCAGACTTCATGAGATTTAGTTGAATTTTTTCTCCTCTATTTAGCATTTCGTCTATAATCTTCAGGCAATGGGTTTTCAATAACAACCTAACATCCTTCTTTTATCAGAAATATCTTCATTCTGAAGCTCCATACAAGAAAATTGTCGCTATTAAGTTTGGTAATATGATTTGTTATTTTTTCTGTCATCTCTGTATCAATTTATAATAGTTCCTGGGCTCATAACCTATTGCAATTACACCAGCTCGTACTCAATTTGTAGGATTCAATTTCATTTTAAATATAATGACAAATCAATACTGACATTAACGAATTATTATTTATGACAAATTAACTGGCATTGACGGTTTCACTTTCTCGCTATTGAGTTTGGTAATATAATTTGTTATTTTTTCTGCCATCTCTGTATCAATTCATAATATTATCGTTCCTGGGCCCATAACCTATTGCAATTACACCAGCTCGTACTCAATATGTAGGATTCAATTTCATTTTAATTATAATGAGAAATCAATACTGACATTAACGAATTATTATTTATATCAAATTAACTGGCATTGACGGTTTCACTTTCTGTGGGTGTATTTGAAGATACTGAATCAAATGAAGCCTGATGATTTTACCATAAATAAAACAGCTTTTTAGGCCACTTAAACCCCTTCTGGCAGTCACTCTCTACCCGCCCACTTGTCTGGCAATATTCCAAAGACTCAGACTGATGCTGATGACGTAGGTATTTTTTTGTCCCTGAAAAATGCTGCATTCGACGTATTCTTCTCATTAAATAACCCATATTAGAAAGTGTTGATTGCTGATGATGCTGCCGAAGATTTTCCCAAGCATCTTCAGCCGTTTTAGCAGACTTTATGAGATTTAGTTGATTGTCTTCCAACATAAGACCAATATTGACATAAGCTTGGGAATTTTTTTCCTCTATTCAGCATCTCGTCTATTATCTTCAGGCAATGGGTTCTCAATAACATCCCAACATCCTTCTTTTATCGGGAATAACTTCATTTTGAAGCTCCATACAAGAAAATTGTCGCTATTAAGTTTGGTAATATGATTATTTGTTATTTTTTCTGCCATCTCTGTAACAATTTATAATAGTATCGTTGCTGGGCCCATAACCTATTGCAATTACACCAGCTCGTGCTCAATTCGTAGGATTCAATTTTATTTTGAATATAATGACAAATCAATACTGACATTAACGAATTATTATTTATGACAAATTAACTGGCATTGACGGTTTCACTTTCTCGCTATTGAGTTTGGTAATATAATTTGTTATTTTTTCTGCCATCTCCGTATCAATTCATAATAGTATCGTTCCTGGGCCCATAACCTATTGCAATTACACCAGCTCGTACTCAATTTGTAGAATTCAATTTTATTTTAAATATAATGACAAATCAATACTGACATTAACAAATTATTATTTATGACAAATTAACTGCCATTGACGGTTTCACTTTCTGTGGGTGTATTTGAAGATACTGAATCAAAGTCAGCCTGATGATTTTACCGTAAATAAAACAGCTTTGTAGGCCACTTGAACCCCTTCTGGCAGTCACTTTCCACTCGCCCACTGGTCTGGCAATATTTCAAAGACTCAGACTGATGCTGATGACGTAGGTAATTTTTTTGTCCCTGAGAAAAATCAACCGGCGCAAAAGCGACCCCTGGCGGACTTTATGATATGAGAATACCTTATTCCTACGTTGCAAGGAATCACCTATACAAGTACTAGCCTGATGTTCGATACCATAACGAGAACGTTGTTGGCTTCTGGACCCCTACAGATGGTATTATCATATATTTGAAACATTTCAGTGGGAATACCAAGTCGGTCCATGCGAAGGTATCGCCATCGGTGACCAACTCTGGGTGTCCAGATACATTCTGCACCGTGTGGCAGAAGATTTCGGGGTCATAGTCACGTTCGATCCAAAACCGATGGAAGGCGATTGGAATGGGGCTGGTGCCCACACCAACTTCTCAACTAAAGCCATGAGGGAAGAGAATGGCATAGTGTAAGTTATTTCCCCAGGAAATTTCACATCTTCAAGATTTTCGACCAATAGGCGAGAAGAATATTTTTTTATTTTCCGAATAAAATCATCATTCAAATGCCTTTCAATTTCATATTTTTCAAGAATTTTTTGGTTGATTTTTAGGTGCTAAAATCATCAATAATACCACGGTAAATTTGTGTAAATGATAATAATTATCTTAATTCACTCTAGAGGACATTTGAATCCTTGAACGTGACAACCTCGCGGACGACTTGTCTGCGTGGTCTTGTCAGTTCTCAGCATTCAGCACAATGTTGCCAAGTCTCCAACATTGACATGATATTTTGTTATGAGAATAAGAAATAGTCGGACATGCTGGTATTATGTTTTATTCAAATACAGGACTCAAACATCTTTTTGATAACTTAATTATAATTGGTAATTTGACAACCTTGCTTCATGAGTAAAAATGGCAGATCATCTGACCAATACTAAACAGCATGAAAACTGACGTCGCCATTTGGCGATACGTCGAATGAATGGTGTGTCTCCAGATGGCATTCATGACCACCATCTGGTGCGAACCTGAACCATCGTAAACACTTCTCAGCATTCAATACCCACGATGCGGTAGACCACTGCGAAATGGACACAATGGACACAAAACGCCGTCTAGGGCAGAAGGAAAGAGAGGTGTTCACGTTGGGTCAGGTTCGCACCAGATATCGGTCATGAATGTCATCTGGGGACACTCCTCTACTGATGAGAGATTAAAAGATCGAAACCGGTCTGTAGATAGTCAAGAGTTCCTGATCTATTTAAGCCCAACTCAGGATTTAGGAAAGAAACACTTTCAGCGGTATTCGTCTATATACGAATCGTTGCATAGATTTCGGGAGGATGTAATTCAATGTTCTGCGTGGCATATAGTGAATGAAGTAGTTGTTTTCCTCTCGATAACTACCATTTTCCATTTTCGTTCCTCTCATGAACTATTGTGGTTTAATGACTTCGAGTTTTCTCAGTTTTTTTCATTCCATTCCGTTTTTTACCATTCCATTCTGGCTTTTTCCTACTTGCAGTGAGACATAATTGGAATAAATTAGGTCAGATCAACTGTACCCCTTTTTAACACACTAAATTTCAATCATTAGTATGAGGAAGTTCACAATTAATTAATTGTTTCATTTCTTTTAGCTTACTTCCTTATTAATTATCCCAACCTCATGTCATTTGATCATTTACTTTAGATATAAGTATTATAATTTCATATTGAATACAATTTTCGATTCTACTATCAAACAAAGGACATGCAGGCTATTAGAGATTGATTCAGAACCTTAAAGCGTGTTTATAAAAATACAAACCTATCTCGATTTTTTATCCAATTTTGATTTTGGAATTACTGACATTTATAAGAAAAAATCAAGTGAACCATAGAATACGAGAAATTTTCGGGAAATCCTCACGTGTAGACAATATGTTTCTCTTCAGACTAACCTTTAATTTGTAATCATTATGATTTCAAGATAGTACATAGTAACATATAGTGGCTTCAATAATTGAGGGCGCACATAACGAATTGCACTGCATATCTCTCCTTTTTCTTTAATTCCTGGCAAGAATCATTATGAATTCGGAAAGAGCAGCTTGTATCATTCGAGTTCAAGAAACTAATGAAAGATAAAATATAGTAATTTCTTTTGACAGCATGGTCTGAATTTGAATTAACAAAATCTCATGTACCTATACCTATCAAGACCAAGAACAAAATGTCCATTTGTCAAGCTTCTGAACTTCTTTCTCTTTCAGTGAAATAGAGAAGGCTATTGATAAACTCAGTAGAAACCACCTCAGGCATATCCAGGCCTATGATCCTCATGGGGGCAAAGACAACGAACGTCGTCTCACTGGAAGACATGAAACATCATCTATCCACGATTTCAGTGCAGGTAGGTTTTCATCTATATGTACAGCCCTCTTCAGCGAACATGTCGCGGTTGGACGGTACGAGCGCTCTTATTGCAGCAGTGATCAAGGGAGCTGACACCGTCCATGTGCGACATGATCTCTGAAGACGACTGTAAATACATGCGTTAGAATAATAATTAATCCTTTTTCAACTGATTCACCAAAAAATTGTTTTTCTCCCGTCCTCTACCATTTCCATATAACACACAAACAAACAATGGATGTCCAATTGATGTCCACAATGGGCATTACGAATATCCATTGGACGTCCGATGATGTCCAGAGGGACATCCAATGGATATCCATCGGAAATACATTTGCCACAAAATTGGACATTCAATGAATGTCCATTTAGATCCAGGTGATGGGCATATCTTAAAAGTGAAAAAAAATTGGTTGCGTACGGGATCCGAACCAGCGATCTTTATGTTCAAAATATTCATAAAAGAAGTATAATCCCCATTGATTATGGGATTACACATCAGTCATTATCCAAGAGGGCATATTCCGTAGTCCCTCTGCCAATAAAAAAGGCACCGCTCCAAAACGTTTGCTGCCTTCAATTTTGTTTTTCCTTTATAGCACATGAAATTGAAATTATGATAAACTCAATGTTCGAATGTATTATACTCGATAAGCAAATGGTATATGTCGTATATTTTGATTCGTTCAAAGGATATACAAAGAAAGTCCAATGGACGTCCATCATTATATTAAATCTTCACGTCCAGTATGGACGAAAACTGAATGTTCAGTGAATGTCTCTACACGGATGTCCATTGTTCTAGTGGTTGATGGACATCCATTGGATTTTCATTCAGGTTGTTGTTTATTTCATTGAACACTCATTCAAATTACTATGAGTGTTTTGCTTCTTCATCAACATTGAACTTTGTGCATTTTGGCTATATAAATTTGTTGTTTCAAATAACTTAATATAAGTTATCGATCATCGTTGAACACTCAGTATCCATTACATTATCTTATTATACAGTATGATGCAAATGTATGGAATAAATTCATTTCAAAACAAGACGACTTCCGAAAAAAATCCAAAAACTAGAGTTCAGAACTTTTTTTATTGTGTATTTTTTCAACTAGACGACCCTTCGATGTTCTATTCTCAGTAGCAGACCTCTGCAAGATTCAGTTAACCAAATGATAATCCATTTTAATTGCAATATTCTTATGCAAAATTTTGACTGTTGGATAGACGATCAGTAGACCTTTCAAACGAGGTGTCACATGACCCCTGCTTGTATTTGAAAAAATCGTCCATTACGTCGTTACTTCTACACCAGTGACGTAACATCTCTCATATGAATGTCATGAGATGAGGCTCCAAAAATTAAAACTCACGTGTTTTTGGAATTTCTTCAGATGTCGCCCATTTCTGAAATAATGAATTTATTCCATACATTTGCATCATACTGTATGTAGATCATGATTAAAATGGATGATTACCAACATAATTCTGCTCATTATTCTAATAACAGAAATTACAGTAGGTATTTACTGGGAGAATCGTCATTGAACATAAATTAAAATTTTCCACTTGAATAATATACGCATTAAATGAACGCAAACAATTTTCCACAGGGCAGAGATTCTTGCATAAAAACACAATATTTTGCTATTATCCGAAATTCTTTCAACGTTGGTATTACACAATTTATCAATTTGAAATTTAAAAAATTTCAGGTATGTTGAACATTTGTATAGGTACAATTTGAATTATTATATATTACCCTAGCATGCGTATATGAGATAATAATCATTCATAAACACATATCAGTTAATTATAACTCGTTTAGCATCATGATTATTATTACATTTGATATCATTTTCCCAATCTTGCATAGAAATCATTTCATTTCTTGTTTAGAATTCATTATTCCTTATACATTTTTGCAACTATATATACAGAGAATCTAGAAAGTGTTATCCCATTTAACGAATACAATATGTTGTTGATAAACTTTATTTATTTCATACATCACCAACAAAATGATTCATTGTGATTCCAAGAACCACCTAAATATAATTCATCAAATTCAAATGACATGTGCTTGGAAATAGGTACGTTAAGGTGCATTTATGCACACCGCTATCTTTCATTAATCTTTTGCTTCCATTAACTGATGCCATTGGAGTTTATTTCCATTTGAGGACTATGATATATTTATGCATCACCTTTTCCAATTTCAAACTCTTCTTCTTGAACAAAACATAGTCCTCAGTGAACTTAGCCCGATGAAAATATTTGTGTTATAACATTCAGTGATCACATGATTATTACAATAAGAATCATTCATTCATATTGTTCTCAGAGTCTAATTTGAACATATTTACTATCTGTAGAGTAAACACCCAAATATAATGATTTAGCCCAACATGACTCATGAAAATATATGCCCAAAAGTTATTTTTGCCAAATCTCATAATTCACCCTATATATTCATAAAGACGGGAGGACGATACTTTCTGATGGTCATTAGGTCTCTCCTCAAGGGCCTCTATTCGTGGTAGGAGTATGTACAGTTCCTCATGACTCACCCTGTATATGTATTATCCAACATCAATTTTTTGTCATAATTGAATACCAGATGAAGGTATATATTTCTTATACCGTATCTCCTACTACTTGTTTATAGGCATTGACCAGCTGTCAAGATTGTCTCGTGAGAATTCTAATATTTTCTTCTTCTTTTCACTCCAGGTGTAGCCAATCGTGGTGCAAGTGTTCGAATCCCACGTGGATGTGCGGAAGAGAAGAAAGGATACTTGGAAGACAGAAGACCAGCATCCAATTGCGATCCTTACTCAGTATGCGAAGCTTTAGTGAGAACGTGTATTCTCAATGAATGAAACTAGTGCAATTTCCACCCCCTAGCCTAGCACTCCCTTTGTATTGTATTATAATATCCACTCAAGTTTTATAAATTTGTTATCTATGTTATACGTTATTATATATGAATATTATGAAATTTTATTTCTGATGATGTCGAAAAAAGTACAAGCGTCACTGTAGACAGGTGGTTATCCACCAGAACATCGATGTACACTGAATCCTATCAATTAAATTAAATTAATCACAAACTGGAGTTTCATTTTTTTTTTTCAACGTGATCTGAATCCAGCTCCTAGAGAGTGTCCTAGAATTAATATGTTGACGAAATGATGATGTCAAGACATTATCAGACCGTCATCAGAAAACTGGATTCAAATCGGAAAGCACAGGCTGATTGCGTTCAGCGGTCTCCAAAAGGTTTTTTAGATTCGAGAAAACATAGTAATGATCCACCTTCTTTACTTCAAGGTAAATAAAGGGTATAACTTTGAAAATATTACCTTCTCTCTGTAAAAATGTGACTGTCAGATTAAGATCTTACAAGACTAGCTTTGGAATTGAGTCAAACTGGTGATCACAGAATACAGATCAGGATGAACTGATTCACCTAAAGAAATACATACCAGGTACCCACCTATACTTTGGTACTACCTTCCGAAGAAACTATCCTCCTAATAGGAATAATCTATTTTGCCTAATTTCCGAAAATGGAGGTTTATCCATCCTGTCCATAGGTAACTTATCCTTCAAGTTGGGAAAATAGAATATATGAAAGTTAAGCAAGCCAACGTTGGTTTAGTTCATTGTACCAGTATATCACCTGACGAAGCTACTGTGTTAGCGAAACATGATGTTATGCTTTTTAGGATTTTGTGGAAATCGTATCGTTTGTGAAGTTTATACCTTTGTAGTATATATTGATTCGGATCGAGGGATCTACTGCCTGGAGCACACAATTTCAGAAACGATGCTTTTAAATTTATTATGCTTTGTTGTGTTTATCTAGTTTTGCTCGGGAGTAGTCATAGTAAAGACATCGATCACAAAAGTCTCAAAGGTTTTACTCTTGTGCTATTTCTTTCTCATCTTTGATGGGGTATAGGTAGGTAGGTGGAGTAATCAGCTCATTTTTATCTTGTTTTAGCATACGAACATTATATAATATATAAAAAGGGGATTTTGATTGACCCTCATCGGAAACTGATTACCTTTGAGGTTGAGAACGGTAGAAGGGTGAGGATAGGAAGAAGTTCTCCTAGATTGATGATTCTCTTCAATGCCCCTACTTTGGTCTAAGATCGAAGCTCTACTCAACTCGAATTCCAACTATGAAAGATGACATCATGAAGAAACAAAAGAAGAAGAAGAATTTTGAAATTGATCATATATTCTGAGAAATGGTGGTGGTGTACAAAAAATGCAAAGGATGTGGAGTCGTCTGTGTGAAAATATCAATTACCTTCGCTGATTATGTGGAGTGTTTGGAGTCATGCAAATGCTGCCCTTAGTCCGAATGATAATGAAAGATATATGTTACTTATCTCAGGATCTAACGAAATATCAAATTTCAAAATGATATCTTGAAAAGTAAGCGAGATATTTCAATTAATATGAAAAAATAATTAAACTTTGACCCCCTGTAGCTCCGCTACTGAACGAGATCGGACTAATGTGATGAGATCTATATTTCATTTTATTTTGTGCCTCAAAACCTGAATCATCCTGTATATTCATCTATATATCCAATATCTAAGAGATCTAGGTTACTAGGTTCATTTCCCCCCATGTAATTTTGATGCTCTCCACTACACAACGGTCATCAAGCGCTTCCAAGCGCAGGAGGAAATTAATACCTTTGCTTTCTTACTGAGGATTATGACACTATTGGTGCCTATCGGTATATTATGTCATAGAGAGCTGAAACGTTTTTGAGAGGTGATATATTGACCAGGAGCCGAAAACGTGTTTTTTGTAACTTGTAACCTTAATACACAGTGACACCCTTGGGTGTCCCCTGAGGTCCTGATTATCTTAGTGAGGGTTAACACTGATATTTTTAACACCATCATAGGGTGTTATTCGTTCTTACATATACAGTCAAGAACTACACTAGAGTACCAAGTGCTAATTTGATCGGTTCGTGTTATCCAACACCGAAATGGTGTACTATGGTTACTATCCAATCATTTAGATTAGATTCGGAATGGGGCCTTCGGGCTATCTGCCTCCACACTGCGACCTTTTCAGATCTATTGTGCCTGCCCTCAAAATGGATTAGAGTTCTTCGGCTAGCCCCGCCTTCTCTATGAGACTCTATAGGCTAGCTTTCAGATCTCCTGTGTATCTCTGGGCTCCTGGTTTTTCCTCACCCAGCGTAAGGAACCTTAGTCTTGACAAGCCCTCACAGTGGCAAAGTATGTGTACTGCTGTTTCTTCCTCTTCTTGACAGAACCTGCACAGCAGTTCTTCAGTCAGACCTATCGTACTCATGTGTTTGTTGAGCCTACCCTGTGAAGAGTCCTAGTAGTATTCTAGTTGAACTTCGTTTCTAGCTTAGTAGATATTCTGTGAATGTTGGCGATGGTTTTTTAATAAACTCTTTTGCCTGTCTCATTCCTGGCGAGTTGTTCCACCATTCTTGAGATTTAGTTTGCATCCATGATTTGATACTAGTCTTTTGTATAGCTTTCGCAATACCATAGAAGGGTTCTGGGCCATTGAAAGCTTTGTTTGCTCCTGCTCGGGCAAGTGAGTCTGCCTCTTCATTGCCCTCGTACCCTGTATGTGCTGGTACCCATGCTAGAGTCAATCTGTTCTGACTGCCCAGTGCATTTAGGGTTTCTAAGCAGTCCCATACTAGTTTTGAGTTAACTTGCATAGAGTTGACTGCTTTGATTGCCGCCTGGCTATCTGAATAGATTGCATTGGTTTTGCCTTGAAACTCTTGCCTTATCAATTCTTTCTATCCAATCATTTGGTGATTATTTTGATACTATATCTGTTGCGTTTGAAATGATCCATTGTAGTCAGATAGCTACTCAATATTTTTTGTGCACAAAATCTAAACTCTGATATTCAATTTTATGTTTCAATCTGGTTCGATATAAGTACTCTATAAAGCTTCGCAATCTCAAAATCATCAATATAAGGGTTTCACGAGATCAAGATCAAGACCAAGAACAAGACTGATAAGTTTTGGTCTTGGTCTCGAAAAATAAATGAAGTCTTGGTCTTGGTATTGGTCTCGATGTTTCAAGACCAAGTCGAGACTGGCTCAGTCTTGGGCTTGATAGTCTAGAAATTCGAATTATTCAATTCAAATATCCAACAGTTTATATGCATATAATAGGTATTTCGTAATTCTCAGTCTTTAAAATTGTCAATTTGTTCGTATAAAGTAAGCGAAATGAATTTCTCCTTTCGCCATAGGAATATATTTTTCAAGAAACCTTAAATGAATATTAGATGAGACCTAAACAGCAAACGGGCCGACGCCCGATAGGCCAGAAAAATGGTTCAAATGGATCGGAACTGACAACAACGCATTATCAAAATATTTCAAATTCGAACCAAATAACTTTTGTATCAAATTTGTTTTTATCTTCAATAGGAGGAGGGATGGACCACTGTGACCTCACAACATACACCTATTTAACTTTAGAACTGCAACACTGGATTTGAAAAATGTATTTCGGATTTTGAGTGAACAAAAATTGAAGACCTACCATATGACAAATGAATAACTGAAATGAAATGCCATTACAGTTTTCATCAGATTTGTCTTTCTATTTGAGTTCTTTATTATTATTAGGCTCTTGGGAGAGAGTATTGGTCTTGGTCATGGAAAGATTTATCAAGTCTTGGTCTCGCGAAACTCTATATATAATGGATGAATCAAATTAAAACTTATTTGATGCATTATTTTCACGAAATTATCCGTTCTTATTTGTCACCTATCAATCTGGATACCAGCGTTAGTGGATGATACCTACACAATTTTTATCCATTCTTCAATGAGTTTAGGTTTTTCAGGAAATAATTTCTTCATATGCAACATTATTTATTCACATGGGAGAATGCAAGACGATGAGGGAATTATATTAGCCCCAAATCTCATGATTCATTTATTCGTGTTTGGTCAGTATGAAACTAGGTGTTAATTCCATATAAGTGTATTTTTTGCGTTTACTTGAATAATACCACTATAGAAAGTAATTAATTGTAATCCTTGTGATGCTTCTTATGAATGGATATTTCAGAACCCCTCTAAATCACCAGATCCGTGTGATTTTTCACTATGAAGGTGTCAATAGACACTACTGTACACGGTACAATTTCTAATATAATATCGATATAATATCGCTATTCAAGTGTTGATTCATTCGGAGTTATTTCTGAAATCCACTCGATTGAAATCACACCCGAAAATGTTTCACTGTGTATGGATTTCAGGAGTATTGATAATATCCTCCGAATATGCTTGAATTTTTTTATCGCAGGAAGATTCTCTGAATATACTAAGAATGATCCTTGTTTATCCTTGTTACATTCTGAGGGTGATTTTTGAATATGCTGGTGAATTTCAGAATATATTCTAGGGATGTTTTCCGAATATGTTGAGAACGTTCTTGGTATATTCAGTAAACATTCTAAGTTTTCGTTATATTTTCATGTTTTCAGAACATTCTCAGCACATTCAGATCACCTTGTGAGAACATTCTGAGGAAATTCCAAATGTTTCACGAGAATATTCTGTGAACATTCATTCCTTGTGCTGTCTAGGTAATAGGTGATTCATTATTTTCTTCAGAATTTCCTTCAGTAGCAAAGAAAAAATCTATAATCAGAGAATTTAGCATTCAACACTAGGTCAATGTGTCTACACGACATGATATTGTTAAATCACGGTAAAAGCACCCCTAGCCAAGACTCTTGGAGGGGAGAAACGAACCCTCATTGGCCAAGATTAGATTTATTCTCGTGCCGATATCGCAGATTTATTCAAACTGCCAGTTTGATATGCAAAGCCCCAAGAGTTGTGGTGAACACAAACATTGAGAGGTTTCGCATTGCAATGCTGATCTCGTCCTCAAGGAAGTGATTGGTGCTCCGTAGGCTTAGTTTTATGTTGAGACTAGTTCAGTATGTTGTCTGGTGGAGAGATAATTTTGAAGTGCATTTACTTATTGCTTTCGCTGGCTTTCAATCGTATATTGAGACCTAACTTTTCAAAATGATTTGATTGTTAGAAGACGGGAGAATGACTTAAAAATGTAAATTGAACGGAAGGGTAGTGACCGTTGGATTTGAAGATATGTCTCAACCAGGGAAAAAGGGAGGAGGAAAGGTTCCTCCTAAAGAGAGTAAAACTGATGAGAATAAGGAGATACCTGCCAAAGCCGGTAAGACTACAATCATTGAAATTCAATATATTATATATCAATGCGTTGCTAGCTATATTAACGAATAATGAAGAGGTCATAGTTTCTGGGCACTGGCTATTGTGCAAGAGAGGACAATTCCGTCTCTTGATGAACCGATTCCTTCAAACTTCCACTTTTACTATACGAATTATTGCATTAAATTCTACACTTAACTGCCATGTATTTGATTACTATCTAGTGATTAGTAGTTAATGGGGATACGATAAGGAATGTTTCTTTTATATTCGAAATAAGAACATTTTCATTTCAATTCTAACATTTTGTGATATGACTGGTACCGTCAAATGAGGTGACTTCGAAGATTCTATACAGTTTTTCAGCCATAACTTGTTGAAACAGTTTCTTTCTCAAACTTTCACTCAACGTAGCCCTTGTATTGGTATATTGAATTGTGATATAAATGAACTCGTGTTATTATTTTCAAAAATATAGTATTTTTTCATTCGAAAAATGTCCGAAGTCACCAGGCAAGGTTTGGTGGCTTCGAATACATGTTTAAAACCATGTGAACCCGACATCATAGACCGACATCTAGCTACTCCACTATCAACTTCGGATACAATTTTTTATTTTCAAAAAAGTTAGGAACATAATATTCACCACATTCTTGAAAAAAGCGTGTTCGACTTATTTAGTGTTGGAGGATAACTTCGGACGTATTGTAAAGAATGAAAATTGATATCCGATCGAAGATAATTTGGACACAACATATCCAATTGGAGAAAACGAATGCTTAATTGAAATCTAAACAACTTAGTTGACATAAATAACACCATATATGACTAAACAACAAATATGCCAATAATGTTGAAATATGTGAAAAATATATTTTGCCTATTCGTAACAGAAATACAGGACATTATTTGAATTCAGGTCGAAACTTTGATGAACGTCTCAATGGTATCGCCTGAAATTCACCAGCGACTTACCTCTACTGACACTTCACATGATGGCCTTCTATGGAAAAAAAATCCAGTGCCGGACTTGGAAAACTCATTTTCTTTTTAAATGTAAAAATTTCGACTTTCTGAATCGTATTTTTCAAAAACTTACATCAGATTCAAAAAGATCAGGAAAAACACTACAAGTGTAGCTCTTCAATTTGTACGGCACACTTCAACCATATTGGTGAAAAAATATCGAACAGAATACTGTTGAACGATTCCATGATTCTGTACTTGCTATTGTAGTCACATCGTTCAACAAAGTCATTTTAATCAATTTCTTGCAAATAGTTGTATTATAAGGGTTGGAGAAAGGCTCTATTCGATGAAAAATTTCAGGACCGGACTCACTTTTTTTGAAGAGACCTTTCAAAACATGGAAATAAGTTCCTTATTTTCGAAACAAAATCGAATATTTTCCTCTGCCTATTCTTCCTAAGTACACACAATATGCTTCGAACATTATAGGAATTTCCTTTCGTGCGCTTCAAGAGATACAAAAGTATAAAAAAGTATTGCTTGGGCGAAATATTTTTCCGAATCATATATACGTGTCAACTCATACTACAATCAGCGAATCAAATTGTGAGTTTGGTGTTTACATTATTCAGAAAACACTACAAAAGGAGACTGTGATGAATGTATGAAATTGGGAATAAATTGGTATTTTCTCTCAACAGGATGGGGCACCTCCATACATCACTCAATACAAGTGAGAGATTACCTAGACAATCGCTGGATAGGTCGTGGCGATCCTCATTATTGGCCCCCTAGGTCCCCTAATCTCACAGTATTAAGGCTATCAATTATCTATCTATATCAATGGAACTATTGGTATTTCAGACTGAAGTCAGGACCAGAGAAGAACTGAGAAACAGGATAGTTACAGAAAAGATATTATCAGAAATAATTGGCAAATTGTTCGAAAAACCATATGAGATCTTCCGAAGATATGCAGAAAATGTATAGAAATCGGGGATGAGGACATTTTGAGAACATTCGTTGAAAAATATTATGATATACAGACGAATCGCTTTCGAAAATTATAATGTTTCGTGATTCTTTCCAAAACCCAAGTCCGGTCCTGATATTTTTCTTCAATAATACTTTCTCTCAACTCTGCTGCCATATCAATATGCAAAAAAACTGATTCGAATACCTTTAGTCGAACATGAAGAAATAAATAAATAAAATCGAAGAAATATTCGTCTAAATTATATTTGATATTTTTTCACCAATCTGGTCGAAGTGTTCCGTACAGATTGAAAAGCTACACTTGTAATGCTTTTCCTAATCTTCCTGATCCTGATGAAAGTTTTCGAAAAATACGATTCCAAAAGTCGATTATCTGACTTTTGGAACGAAAATGAGTTTTCATGTGTGGCTCTGGAATTTTTCTTTCCTAGTAGGCCATCGTGTGGTGCGTCAATAGAGGTAAATTGCTGGTGAATTCAAGGCGAAAACATCAAGACTTTCCTGAAATATCGTTCATCAAAGTTTCACCCAGAATTCAAATAAAGTCCTGTATTACTGTTAGGAATAGGCAGAATATATTTTTTCACATATATATCAATTCAACTTGATTTTCTCTATCCGTCATTAGGCTATGGCTGCTACTATATTCTATTATAACATTCGAATATTTGTACCATCCTCTCCCTCATTTTAAAATTATGATGAATGTACGTCTTAGTAACAGTTGATTCATCTATTGTGGGTGGAAAAGAGATGAACTCCTGATGGAGAACCAGATCTGCTCTTTGAATTGTTTTTCTTTTTTTCAAGAAGCTCATTTGGTAGTGATGATACACCTTTCTTTCCTTTCCTCACATCATTTGTGACTGCTTTTATTTCTACATTGGTGTAGTTCCTGTAGGAACAACCACCTCGATTGGATGAGGAAAGTACCGATTGTCCGGAATCTTACGTACTGTCCGAAGACTCCGAAGACCTCATTTGACGGTAGGTCTTCATCAGCTATACCTCGAGAGATTCTCCAAGCATACTAGTTGGTATTCATCAAACAGTCGACAACTGTTTAGCGCAATTGCTGGATTTGAAAGATGTTGCTTCTACGTAAATATCAAAAATAGTTCTCCAAATTATAGTTTCAATTCTATCTCTACCAAGTTCGGAATTCTACAGGTAGCCTAAGCTTGAATTTCCAATATTGACTCATGTCTTTTCCATAGACATCTTCAAAGGATTTTCAATGGACTTTCTATGGACTCATTTACTCCATTTATGCTGGAAATCATTCTAATTTTAACTTATTCTCGATATCGAATTGACATGGATTCGTGTCCTGTGTTCAATCAATATTCTCATATTATATTGGTCCTCTGTCACAAATATCTGGAGCAATAACTGAAAAATAATTGTTTCAGTTATCTGAAGGCAGTTCTTCAGTTGTTCATCTTCATGGTAGTGTGAATCATGATATATCATATTCCACAACTAAATGAAGTTTTTCTGATCTCCTTTATAACTTCCTTTTTTTTTCGCGATTAACTTTTCCCTTACAAATTTTGGTCCAGCTAAAAACATAACCTTTTTCAGGGTACCTATAAGGAAACTTTCTAGGTTTATTACTTCAAGATACACCCTGTACATATCCATATAATGAAGTATAGTTTGAGTAGATTTTCGAATTCCTGAACAATTTGAGGCAACTTGCCTAAATAAATTATTGCTACTAATTGAGGTTAATGGAAAGTATACTTCTTCTTTGTTTAAATTACGTATCTTTAGTATTCTCAAATGAAAATAGCGCTAACTTGAGAAACTGATGTTGCTTTGTGGTACCCCCAAAAAACATAATAATATATTAATTACATATCAAAATAGATAACAAATAATGAACAGACATATCGATTGAGAAGTTTTTGACAGATAATGATAGATAATACCCAGAAACGTTTAGTCCCGAAATATTTATGTATGAAAGTTCAAAAACGTTGTTAGAACCATTGCTATTTCTCAATATTTTGGGAATAGTAATTTAGTTATGAAAAAGGATAATGAACCTATTCCATACCATTCTGTGAAGTCAGATAAATTAAGATTAGGATTAAACATGAGAACTCAAGTATGACAGACATTGACTGTGCAGTTAGTATATTCCACGGTTAGGTAAACATACCTAGTACATTAGCAGCAATCTGGAACATGATATTCAGAAGATTAAAACTCTTCTCCTGAAAATGCTAACATAGTTAGCGAAACACGTGTCGAGGAGTTTAAAAAATCGGTTTGGTTAGTGGTGAAACAGTGTAGTGCATGATACCTGTATCTGCCCTTTTCCTTTCAGGAGCCAAGGACCCGAAAGACAAAGAAAAAGAAGAAACCTCCAGCAACCCCGATGGCGAGGAAGGCACCGCCTCCAAGCCGCAGAGCGCCGGAGCCAACACCAGAGATGCCGCTCAAAGGATCCTCTCGCTGTGCCAGAAGGCCGAATGGGCGCCCATCGACCAGATCCTCAAGGCCATGGAGAAGGCCATCGCCAATGCGGGGGAGGAGGCCAACAGCGTGCCCTTGGCTGGGGTCCTCGATTTGGTAAGATTCGTTGTTACTAGAAGATTGATGAAATAAACCTCGGGAACAACATGTTTCCCATGGGATACACTCATGAAATACGAAGTTATTCTCATTTGTGATGGGAACTGAACCCTAGTGAAAAATCGGGAGAACATATTTAGTGCAAAACATGGCAAACATATATGGAACAGATTATTTTCAATTGCATTTCCTCGTTAGACCCAGCACTGGATCCAACGCCCCATAAGTCGAAACTTGTGCGGGGTTAGGAAAGCATACATTCACAAACATCCATGGCCTAACTGGGATTCGAACCCATGCCTCGGTGGGAGTCCCCATACTAACTCAGCGCCTTCGCGCTGAAATCCTTGCAAGAAGACCAGGAAGAAGGTTTTTGCCTAGAAGGGACCACCCATTTGAGTGTTTGTCTGCTGCACAATCTATTAAAGTTTCTTCGTTTGTCCTAAGACATTACTAGAAAATTGATTGATACTTTAGAATCCTTATAAGTGGATTTGGGGTGAAATTTTCCTTTCTTCAAGTCCTCAGAGGCCTCCATTATTTCTATTGACAGTCTTTTATGCTCTTTGCTAATAACTCGTGGTTTTTTAATATTGTTTGCATCCATATCCATCTCGATCAGAGGAAATATAGTAAATATACAATACACAATAATCTCACTGTCGGAAAATTATATTACAATATGACCTCAAAATTATTCAAGATTGAAATGTAAACATTTCATGTCGATCATCCACCAGTTACCAACATAAAGTAAGCTCAAGAATCTATCTGCGACATACGGCACTTTATCAATCCCCTAGAAAAAACGTCCATCTGGTTGAAGAATAGGTGAGATGACCAATTATCATTTCCTATAAGAACTGAAAGCATTGGATCATTCGAATTCCCATAGATTCGAGAATCGGGCCCCTGGTGCGCTCATTCTTAATTTGTTTCGTGAGACTGGTTCTTGATCAATTCAATTTAGACGATGACGTGGGGCTCACATATTGAATGTTAGATGGCGTTCTACCAACCTTGATGCGGCTAAATCGCAAAATGTTTTTGGTATAGCACCAGACTAAACTTAGCGAGTTCCACCTACGCCATGTTAAGTTTATCGAAGTAGGCGAAAATTAAGGTATTGTACAATAGGAAAGGATTGAAGTGCGTACACCAGAGGTTTATTTCATCAATATTAGAAGGGTGTCTCACTAAGATAGAAACTTCGATAAGGCGAACAAATGTTCCAATCACAGAATGGACGAGTGGACTTGAAATGAATTATTGGCATTCAATTACTACACTGTGTCGTTAGGGACCTAAATTAATTTCTGCAATAGAGTCCGACCACGTTAACTTTGGGACAGCATTTGACGCAACGCATATGCATATTCAATGCATACGCGACCACGTGCTGTCCCAAAGTTATCGTGGTCGGACTCTACTTCTCACACTTTTTTTATGTAAATAATGAGTGCATGCGTTGTCCGTAATTGTTGAATTTCAGAGCTCATTTAAAACGTACCAGCATAACCACTATTTGGCGATACGTCGTTATCAAGAAGGTGTAAAAGTCTGTCGTTGAATAGGCGGAACCCATGATATAATAGTTTATTCTTGATTCTTTCCAGCAACCAACATGTCCAAATATTTCTTATGCTCCATAACAAAAATTTCATGTGAATGTTGGAGAATTGGCAACATTGTGCTGAATACTGAGAGGGGACAAGACCACGCCTACAAGTCGTGCGCGCGGTGTTGTCACGTTCACCGCTCCAAATGTCCTCTAGTGTGAATCAATATAATTACTCTTCACACAAATTTATCATAAGCAATATTAGCCACAAATCTGGAAGTTCCCAGTCGTATTTGAACACATGGCAACTGTGCTATGGGGTGCCCCTACTTACGAAATCGTGACATCAGTTTTTACTCGCGGTAAACTTTTATCCGTTTGAAAATTACCGTGGCATTATTGATGATTTCAGCACCTGAAAATCGATCTAAAAATTCTATAAAAATATGAAATCGAAAGGTATTTGAGTGATGATCTACTTGAGAAATAAAAAAAATATTCCATTGTATAACAAGAATATGAACAATCCGGTATGACGTTCGAAAAGATGTCACTGAAGTTCAAATTCAACGAACTCACCTAAAAACAAAGGTGCTAAAATAAAATGCTAATGAATCATCTGAACCAATCAAGAAAGGATCCTTCAATTCATTTTTATACATGGGTATTCATGTGGAGACAGATAGTCAAATGGTGAATAGGGAAAATCAAGACGATGCATATTTTAGGTGTCCCAGAACAACGTACCATAAATTCTACAGGGTGAACTAGAGACCAGAATGGAGCCTTGAGAGGACGGTGAAGAATGATTTCATTTACAGATTTTCTCAAATATTTCGAAATCCTTGAAAGCTTCTTCTCTGGAATTGAAAAACATGCATTTTTACAGCGATAAGGAAGGTCCATCCTTTTTTATCGATGTCAAAATGACTCATCGTCATCGTCATCGTCAAATGGTGTTTTCTTTGGAGAAGGTGATTTATCGCTCAAAAACGAGGTCGGTTGGACACGTGTTGGTGAATTCAGTTTCTGTATTGGTAGAGCAATCCAATAATTTTATGTATACAAAAAAATGTCGCTGTAATACAGGAGAAACCAAAAAAATTGGTAGAATCTGAGAACAACAGTAGAACAGTCGTGGGTAAATGAGTGCTCGCAATATTATCGATAGTATTTCTGTCAGGAATCAAGGATATCCAGTCGCAAAGTGATGGAAAAGCCATCGATATTGTGCTTATAAAACATCTACACCTGAGGTGTTAGATATATCGAAAGCATTTGACTGTGTTTGTCACCAAAAACTTCTTCATAAACTGCCATCATATGGGTGACCACTTCAGGTTTACCTACTTCTATCGAGTTTCCTTTTAGGCAGATCGTCTGATACCATAAAAATCAATTCCAGGATCGATTTTGGCCCCAATATTATTCCTATCTTATATCAATGATCTTTCGGGAGCAAACACTCGCTCTATCCACAGCTTTTCAGATAATAGTACCCTTCATACTACGTGCTCTTCCAGAATTCACATTTCGCTTTCAATGAAGATCTTGCTTAAATTACAACCTAGAGGAACCAACAATCTGTTGAATTCAACGCCACTGACTTCTTCAGATTCATGACTGCTTACAAATTTACCACATTTATGCTCGGTATTTCCATCAGTTAAACTCATCCAAGAGAAAAACATGCTAGATTTATTCCAAAAGCTGCTGGTGAGACAATTAGCAAATAGAAAGGATGTGATCGAGCACATAGAACCAATACACTGCGGTCCATTTTTGAAATCCTGCATGTCTCAGAAATGTTTTTCAAGTAGATGAATTGAGACTCCAACTCGGGACGTTTTGGATGTTATCCTTTAGGAACTGTAAAAAAAATATTTTATCTCCAAATGACATTGAAAGTGAATTCTTAATGACACTTAACAAGCAGAAAAGGTTTATTTTCACTGCCTAGGCGAAATAAGTTTGTTTCTATGCAACGTTCCAAGTAATTTGAATCAAATAATTGATAATCAAAATTGACAATGACCTTGGGTAAACAAAAAATGATGGATTATTTGGATTTTGAGTGGAATTAAAGAGAATTTGGAGACAAAATTATAGTCTCGGCTTCACCTAGGCTATGAAACCCCAGCCGCGGCATCGAATCTGGTACTTTTGAGCCTAGAACAAATAACTATTTCACAACTCTGTGAACACGGTATAGAAAAGGGTACTTGAGGGTCAATCAGAAGCTAAAAAACAGCAGTCATGTAATATATGTATACAGGGTATGAATATAATATCAAATATATCCCTAATAACGATTCAAACAAGGGCATATTTGAAACAAAATATGTTGTTTTCAATATTATTTGTTAATCTGCCACTATCGGCTCGATACGTTAAGGAAACTTCACGAATAATTGAAATCACGTGAAAATTCGCCTAATTATATACATATACATAATTTAATGATCTTCTAATAAAGTAAGTTGAACTCATATAACATATATTATGTTGTGAATTGTATACAAATGTACCTCCAATAGGAAAAATTCGACGATGTTGGCAGTATGGTATCATTCCTTTGTTAAAATCCACCATGAATTTATTGAAACATTCCCCAGGCGACTTCCGTTTCCCTATTGACGACCTAACTCTGTCACTTCCCCTTTGTAGTAATCCTGATACAAAACGACATAATCATAGTAATGGAATTTCCTATTGAACAAACAGTCTATATGATTTTCTTGTTTCCAGGCTACCGGGATGACACCTCTCATGTATGCCGTCAAAGACAATAGAACGTCTCTGATTGAGAGAATGATCGATCTAGGATCTGACGTGGGAGCCCGGAACAACGTGAGAATTTATTGTTTCATGTTTAAAAAATATCATTCACTATTATGCTATGGATAATAGCAACAAATATCGTCAAAAACTTAGTTGGCTGCTGTTCAGTTTTAAACAGTTGTCACAACTGAATATTATTGCATTAAGACATATACCTATTTATAATGAATGATATTTTAAGATTTTGAATGGAGGCATCGTAGATAGACACAATTTCAACATTCAAATACATTTATATTCACTCAGGACGGCTCGTACAAAGATGACTGTTTATAAAAATACAACATCGACAAGTGATTCGTTCTGATGCTACGATGCTAATGAATAAACCTGCTTCAATCTTCGATCACACGATGGTTACGAATACCGATGAGTTGTCGCGGTCGCTTGTGATAAGGCATTTCTTAGGCGTTCTTCTCAATTTGGGGGTGATTTGAACATCGTCGCTAACAATATAGATATTAGTAGTATAGTGGCGAGAGATATTGGAAAAATCTGCAAGAGTTACATTAGATTTGTTGCCGGAAACATAAAATAAAGTATAAATCGGCAAAATTGATGGAATGGAAAAAAAATTCGAGAGTAATCTCTATTCCGGAGTCAAAATTCACTTTAAAAAATGACGTTTATGGTTTGACCATACATAGTTGTATAAGAATATTTCACTATTAACTAGAATTTTGAATAAATTATACAACTGTAGAGTACTACAGAGGTAGGATACTTGAAAAAATAAATCTTTGATCACTAACAACAACTACAGCAAACACATTTTCAAAGTAAGTGTTCGTTCAGAGCTATTGCTCTTGAAAACCCTGTTCATCTTCTGAGCCAGCAACATTTTGACTAGGCCTTATCTTCATAATTTTGTGTTCACTAGTTCAGATATTTCCCATTCTTAATGAATCGGACTGTATAATAGACAATGTTCCTGTAGTAGGTAGGCATTGCTGAGGAATCTTATCTTCATTTCTAGTCAGATGGCGTTGCCTTTATATTATCTATAAAGGACGCCTCTAGGGGAATATAATGCCGACTTGATTTTTGTTTGGCTAGGCTAGGCTTAGTCGGCGGTCTAAGGACTGCTGGCTGGAGACTGCCGTGCACTGATGAGAGCCAAAGAGCTCGAAACCAGTCTGTAGTTGTCCAGCGTGGCCTGGCTAAATCGAAATCAATAGGCATTCAGGAAAGAATCACTTGAACCAGTATTCATTCATACGAGTCGATGCATGGATTTCTGATGTTCTGCGTGGTATTAGCCAGGCAAGTAGTTGTTTTTCTCCCGAAATCTATCATTTTTGTTCATTTTATGAACATTGTGTGGATATGACTGACCTTTCTGAATTTATTTTTCCTATGGAATGGTTTAATTTCAAATCTCAATTTGCGCAATTATAAGAATAAATTGAGTGATCAGAACGGATCAGAATGAAACAGAGTGATCCACATTTGAGTAATGACGTCCGCGACTATTTCTCTGTGAAACACACATAATAAATCGAATGGAAAACAATCGAAAAAGTATCGGATTGAAATAAAATTCGGAGCGAGACCCCCTTTTTCACACAAAGTTCTACACTGTAGCAATTCTGACGTCACCTCTGTTAAAATTTCCGCATGCGGAAGGCACAATCACACGGAGTTCAATGATTTAAGTTATGTTGAGTAAGTGAGTTTTTTTTTCTCCCACTTTTGTTCAATTTTCTGGATGAACTTTCTCGTTATTCAGAAGAATAAGAAAAAACTTATATATTATGAATATTCGTAAGACTATATAATATCGATGTGCGGCTGAATATGTGTATCTACTTATTTCAAAAACAGCTCTTATATTATTCGATTTTTATAATCTCCATGAGAATCTGAATTCCAGAAATTTATCACACATAACGTTTCTATACATTGCGTACAGACGATAAATTCAGTAGGTACTCTCTTGAGGTAGTGGATAGATTCGTTAAAAATTTAAATAATAATTTTTCGGAAGAATGCCCAAAATTGAATATAAGCATATTTTCAAATTCGTCTTTGAGAGAAATAGCAGTCATCGATTTTTATGTTACACGGAATCATCATTAAAGGTAATCATTATCGTTGTTTATTTGTATATTGTATGTATATCAAACATTTTCCATCACTTATTTCGAAAAACTGACATTAGTCGAAATTGCTCGACCTGTCAGGTTCTCTCGTAAAATTACTGATCGGCAAATGTTTTTCGTTACCAAGAGGAATTTATCCGATAAAAAAAGCTCTTGTGTTTTTACTGTTGACAAAAATGTATTATCTCATTCCATATTAATCTTTCGTCAACTTTCATCTATATTTCATAGATCGTCCCAATTTCGGAAACACCCAGTATTGGTCGTAAGTCAACTGAATTTATTGTCTATTCAGGCAGTTTCATAGTTCATATTCATCCAAAGGTGTTGTCATGTCAATTAAGTGAAAGTATGTGTTTATCTAATGAATGAACAGTAAATCAATCCATCAGTCTTAAATTTAGCCCCAATCGATCACGTGTAAACTGGTAACACATGGAATGGGGGATATTTGCAAATTAATGCAGGTAATGCGAGCCAATAATAACCATTTTAAACTGATTGGAAAATCCTGGGTGTGGTTGATATATGTATAAGCCATGGCGTTATAGCATCGCATAAAGGAAAACGAACATTATTCATTCGACTGGTAGGTTTAAAAAATTACCGACAATATATGTCCTGGGTGTTCCTATAATCACTGATCAAGGCAGATAGATCCTACTCTGGAGGTATAGAGTGAAAATGCAACAAAAGGTATACCTTCTCGATGATATAAACAAATGAGATAAATTCCACTTCAATATTGAGAAAATTAATTCCATGAGATTCCACAATTGACTAGAGAATCTAACCTAACCTGACTTGAATTTGAAAATCAATGAAGTTGGACAAAAAAAAATCATTGAACTCCAGAGTTCTACGTGGAAATAACGTTGTACTATCATATTAAAATCCCATTCCACATGCTGCTTAGTCATAACGTCAAGGCAGATCGCTCCATGTTGTGGTGGACGGAGTATCGTCTGATACCATAGCTATGCTCCGGCGTTCCACAAGGATCAATTTTGGCACCAACATTGTTCCTACTTTATATCCTTCACTCAAAGGTGAAGACCTTGATTATATACTAGTTGAATGCTCAAAGTTCGTATCAATGATCTGTTGGGAGCAACCACTTGCCATATCCACAGTTTTGCAGAATGTGCGTTCTCTTCCAGAATTCACATTTCTTCCCAGGAAACTAAGCACAAAGGCAGGTCAACGCTGTTAACGAAGATCTTGCTAAAGTTACAGCCAGAGGAGCCATCAACAACCGCGTTTAATTCAACGCCATCAAAACTCATGACTGTATTTTCTCTAGAAAGGCAGAACTCAATATGTCAGACGTTATCAATGACTGGTACCACCATTTCCACAAACTCCACTTTATCTATGCTCGGTGTTTCTATCAGCATCACTCTTCATGAAACCTTGGATTTTCATTTCGTGCGAGAATCTACTTTACTCCTCAACAGCGTTCCATGATCTACAGAGCACAGATAAGGATTGTTCTAGAATAAGTACTGTTCCTAAATATGCGTTTCAGCGCCCAGATTCCATCTAGAGAAAAGCCATTTGCCTGGTGGGTAATTCCACACACACACACACACACACAAATTTTTTGACTTCATACGAACACCGTAGAAAAGTCTTTTCTATAGATACTTCCACAGGAAATGTTCTTCAGAAATCTCCACTATCATTCCATCACCAGCAATACCAGTCAGAAGAACTCGACAAGCCCAGTTAGCACATCCATTTGTCATCAACCTTGAGATATGTAGAACTAATTTTCACCAAAACTCATTTGTCTATAGAACGGCAAGGTGTTGGAATCCTTTGCCGAAGGAAGTATTTCCAAGAACGTATATAATCTCTGAAAGTTCAAAATGAATATCCAATACCTACCTCCTCCCAGAAACGACTACTGAGATCCTCATGCTATTCACACTGTTTTTAACAAAATTATAAAAGTGTCGAAACCTCGAAAACCTCGAAATTTTACCGAGGTCAAGTTATGAACTTGTTTATCACCATCTAGAGTATGATCCAGGCTTCATCGGACGTTTGATAGTTTTTATGTATCAAGGACGTAAAGTAGGCTTTTATGGACCGCAGCGTGTACGTAGGAGCCCTAGCGATAGCGTGGGCTATTAACACGACACTAGGTCCATAAAAGCAAGTTACTCCCGAAATACATACAGCATTTTATGCACGACCGTTTTATACATTTATTAACTGTCAATTTGTAATTTATCAATGATTTTGAATTCATTTGGCCAAATCATGTATTCCACTGGCGACGAGATATCGAATGGTAAAGTCTACTCGAAATTACTGCAGTAACAGTGAAATTACTTTACCGCTCGTTCGCCTACTTCACCGCCCGATCACCTTATTCACCACCCGGCAGACTATTTTAACGCCCGATGTACACCTTTATCGCCGTAGGGTGCTAAAGGGATATTTTAAGCCCGCGAATCCGGGCGATAAAGTATCACTTCACGCCCGGTGGTGCATAAAACAAATTACTTACATAAAAGTTTGTCAAACAATTAACTTAGTTAATTACTGTTGCTGCTGATATCAAAATGGGAATTAATTCAAAAAAGTAACTCACTATTGTCTTCCGAAAATAGTTTAAACTGTTTACGTTATGGTTGAACTATTTACAAAATTATAGTTATATGTCTAGTGTTTTGAAATAGTCTACTATGTAATTCAAAATGAAAATAATCTCAATTCGATAGTAGAAATATGTTGGGTGCAACATGTGTGAAAACCATATTTGTTGCAGCTTTCGACATCGTCTAGAGCTGCAAACATACACTTTTTGCACTAGTTGCACAGGACCTATTGGTTGAATCATAAGTAAAATTTTCCACATTTTTTTAGTTACAATCGAAAAAATACTATATTTTGAAT